AATTTGGACATACAGACACACAGGGAAAAGGCCATTGTGATGACAGAGGCAGAGATTAGAGGGATGTGTCTACTAGCCAAGGGATGCCAAGTATGGCCGGAAGCCACCAGAAGCTAGAAGAGTCCTGGGACAGATTCTCCTTCACAGCCTCAGGAGGAACCAACTCTGCCAACACCTTGATTTTGGACTTCTGTCCTCCAGAAGAAATGGTGCGAGAATAAATTCCTGTTGTTTTAAGTTACCCAGGTTGTGGTAATCTGTTATGGCAGCCCCAGGAAATGAACACACCTTCCAAAACACATGTAGCCTTTGTACATATCATTCTCCTATCTATAACTTTTTGATACACAGATCAGCATTTTTTCCCATATCCACATCAACTGGGGCCAGCTGCAGGGAAAGTGTATGAGAGAGAACTTGAGAGGAAGGCCTTTTGGGCCAGCAGGGGTTCCACTGATCTGAGTCAAGCTTGCATCTGGACCTCTGGCCACAGCATCCTCTTCCTTCTGCCCACCTCTCCATCGCCCCTCCAGCACCCCCAGTGCTACCCCAGGCCATCATTGCCCGCTGGGCTGGAGGACACTGGCTGCTCCAGGGGAACATCCCTGGTTCACCCCCATTCCTGCTGGAGCCTCTTTGGCTGCTGCTACAGCAAAGGGGAGGGAGTCCCCCAGCGAGGAGCTAATGACTGCACTCTGGGAAGTGACAAAAGGGGTAATTAATTCACAGTTGCGAGCTTTCCCAGAGGGAAAGAGATAAATCGTTCTCTGGCACTCCCACGGTGTCCTAGCACAGCCTCATTTGTAAAGTGGGTGTGAAACTACAAAGCTTTTGATGAGACACATTCCTGGATGCCCCCAGCCCAGTGCCCTCTCGGTCCACGGTCCACGTAGCAGTCGGCCTCCCTCAGTCTCCTCCAAGAACTTCTGACCAGAGGCTAGTGTCATGGGTTTAATTGTGCCCCCCACCAAATTCATATGCTGTCATCCTAACCCCCAGTAGTAGATGTGGTCTTATTTGGAAATAGGGTCTCTGCAGATGTAATTAGTTAAGAAGAGGTCTTACTGGAGTAAGGTGGGCCCTTAATCCATATGCTGGTGTTCATATAAAAAGGGGAAATTTGGACACAGACACACACATACCATGTGGAAAACGCCATGTGAACATGGAGGCAGAGATCGGGGTGAAGCTTCTACCAAACAAGGAACTCCAAGGATGGCCAGCAACACCAGAAGCCAGAGAGAGGTTGGGAACAGATTCTCCCTCACAGCCTCAGAAGGAACCACCCCTGCCAACACTTGACCTCAGACTTCCGGCCTCCAGACTGTGAGACAGTAAATTTCTGTGGTTCAAGCTGCCCACTTTGTGGGGCTTTGTTAAGGCAGCCTAGGAAACTACCAATGCGGCAGGCGAAGGATTGTTGGTGGCTCAAGAGAAGCCGCGAGAAGCCATGGCCTCCACTGGGGGGCGCTGATGATCCTCGTTTCCGTTGGCTTGGGGTCTGGTCCCACTCAACTGGTCCCGGAACTCACTGCCTCTAGGGGCCCCGCAGGTGGTGGAAATGAGAAGGAAGGTCAGGTGTTAGAGGACCAAGCAGCATCACTCACTTTATTCACATACAGAATGACACCCTGTTGAAAAGTCAGTTCGTTAAGACTTTCATATCATTTCTTTCTCGAATTCTGGGCACATGGATCATGATACAGGTTGTGTGATAATGGCATCTTATGTTGTGTTCTTTAGACAAAGACATTCTATACTTTCCAGGAGACACATAGGGATATTCTTTCATAAAGCAGTATCCTTTTCCTAAGTGTCTTGAGAACACACAGCTCCCTCCATCTATGTTTGTTTTCCACATATTTCGGTAGAGACACGCCCAGGCAGAAATATTCCCCTGTTATTAAAAAAGTGGTGAGCTAGACAGCAAATGAAATTTGTACATCCACTCTGTCCAGTTAGGGCCAATTTGGGTGGTAAGCCCCATTCTGCCAGAGCATCTGAATTCTCTTGAGAAGACAGAAATCCACATTTTTTAGGCAAAAGAGTTAAGTGTTTACTCAATCCTTGTCTATTCTGTGCCTGTTTTATTGTCCTTTTTTAGGACGATCTGAAAATTATTTTGTTTGTTGTTGATCCCCCCACGCCCACTAGAGATAAAGTCTTTGAGGGTAGACACGGGTGTGTCATATTTACTGCTCTATCCCCAGTGCTTGCAAGAGTTCCTAGCACACAGTAGGTGCTCAATAAATACCAATGGAATAAGTGAATGATCCATCACTTGATACTGTTTACATGAATACAAGGATTTCATGCAACTTCTTTTTCTGTGGAATCACCTTGAGGCGGCATTTGATTGTTAGAGGAGTCTAAAGATCAACCCTTTTTTAGCCCAGCCCAGAGTCACCGTGGGCAGGTACACGCCTCAGGAAGTTGACATCTGAAGGTACGTGTGAGATGCAAAGAAAGGACAGAGCCATTTCCCTCGCTCCAGCCCAAAGGGAGGCTGGGATACACGCTTGCCTGCCACGGTTCCCACTTACCGCCATCCGTCAGCAGGCTTTTAGCAGAGAACCACACGTGTGATTTATTTGCAGATCTTTCAGGTCCTGAAGGAGAGACACTTAGAACACAACGCACTTTGTCATCACGTGTCAACATCGCCTCAATGCGGAGATCTGCATTACACGATGTAAGAGTGTAATTGGGCTGTGCTGGCATCCTTAAATCTGCATTTTCATTTCCCCAAAGCCACGGTGTTTGGAGAGCCATTTGCAGTTGACGCCAGCCCCTTGGAGGGGGTCGGCGTGTAGAAAGACAACAGACAGCCATAAACTCGCAGAGTGCAAACTTTATATTTACAGTTGGTGAGTTTATAAATATAGATTACCTTCTTACAATCTACAGTACATTCTGCACGCACATGGATTGAGAGTGGGCAGTGCCATGGTTTTAAAGGAATCATCACGGGGGTAAGGATGAAAGAAATAGAAGGCGGCGACTGGAAGCAAAGGATTCTCATCGAAAGAGGTGACAGCTTAATCACCCAACCAGACCAGGTAAGTAAACTTGGGGACAGGAGCAGGGGGCTTATGGCTGCTGGAATCCCAGTCTTAGCACGAACGGATAGCACCTCAGTTGGAGGGAGAGTGCGAAGGTTGAGAGAGTGAGCTGCTGGAATTTACACACAGGGTCTAAGGAGAGTTCAATTATATGCATTTATATATAGAGAGAGAGAGAGCGAGGGAGGAAGGGGGAACACACACACACACACACACACACACACACACAGACACACAGGGAGAAACAGAGAAACAGAGGAAGACCAGAGATAGGTTCAGAGAGACACAGAGACAGAGAGACACACAGAGAAAGAAAGAAATTGGAAAAGAGATCTAAAGAGATCAGAAAATGATGCAAAGGGAAAAAACAGAGAGATAGAGCGAGAGATTGACTCAACAGCATGGGCTCTCCATGGTCCTTCTTCCTCCACTGTAGTTCTCAGGATGGTACCTACTTGGCAAGGATTCCACCACCATCTTCTGCCGTAGACAGAGGGTGAGATGGGATAAGAATCCTCTCGTCTCTCCCTCCACCTCCACGTTTACAGGCTTTGCTCTGAGGGGTTTTAGAGATGCCCAAGAGTCATTCAGATTTCAAGCAACGTGAAAGCTTCCAGGACTGACTTTAGAACCAAATGTTTGCATAACCTCTCTCTCTCTGTCCCACACCATGGCACCCCGGGTCCCTCCATCTCTCCGAGGTAGGGAAGCCTTACATTCTGCCCAAGTGTAAGTGGGGACAGGCTCCCTGCCCGCCCCACCTCTTACACACTCAGAGTCATAACTCTCCACACGCTGCACACTTCACATGACACCCATGTTTGTCTCAATGGCCTTGGACAGGAGACCCCCTGTGACTGTTGACAAACACATCGCAAAACCGCCCTCTCTGCTTTCTAGAAAAGCGAGAGGAACAAGCCTCACTTGGTGTTGAGTTCCTTGTGGTACCACTTACCCTCAAAGATGAGCCTCTTCTAGGAGGGATGGTGTGTGGAGTCCACCCAGGGGGGCCTTCTCTATAGAACGCCCCCTGGTTGTTGACACAAAGCCCATGGGGGAAGAAAGAGACTCAGTGAGTGCTGGAGACTGCCCCCCGCTGCCCACAGGTGACCAACGACTTTTGGAAAGCTGGCAATGCAGTGGAGAAGTACAAATCTGAACATAGAGAACTTGCTAAAAAAAAGAAAAGCCTGGTTCTTTGAACCTGATTGAAATTCTACGTCCCGTGTCCCTAGTTTACAAATAAAGGGATGCTCTGAGTCGCTCAGAGGGTGTGTTTGTTGGTTTGTTCTTGGTGTCTGGTTACAAAGATATTGGTGGCCTGTTTGCCCACTTGTTCTCTCTCAGTCCTTGTCAGCAATGGCCCTGGTCTGTCAACAAGCCAGCCTACTTTCACCCAATCTTTGGGGGATGATGACTCACAGCCATGCTTCCCAGGAGCCGACTGGGCGCTAGACTCTGCCTCTCATCACGCTCACAGCGAGATGCGCTGCTCCAATTCAAATGATACACTTCCTTCCATTGATCCACTTACGGTCAACCTAAGTCAAGCTTTCCTTCTGCCGTCTGCAATATGGAACACGGGATCCATGTGGATCTTACAACATCCAAATTGCTTTGACTAAGGAGATAGAGGGACTATTCTTTCCTGGAACCTCTCAGAAGCTCAGTGATTCAGAACTCATTTTTCTTCCAAGGTTTAAAAATCTTGCCATGCACGATAAACCTCTTAACGTCGACCAAGACATTGTATGCTGGAACATGAGCATCAAATCCTACTCGGAGCCTCCCCAGCTGTGCCAGGGCCGTTTTCTGGGGCTCTGTTGGCAGGGTCACCCTCATCTTGTCCTGTCATTCCTTTTCTGCCCCGGGGGCACCGTTGTCACACATCCTCAAATTAAAGGCTGAAAGGTGAGTGAGTGTCAGCGAGTGTCCGGCTTACACGTTTTCGTGTAACCTTTCCATGTAGGTGTGGAGCTCTGTGCACTCCCCGGGGTCCAGATCCTGGCAGGCCCAGCTCATATTAGCCTCACCGCTCGTCACTATGGGGTTCACGGCGGGGCATCCGTCGTCCGTGGAGATGGTGGTGAAGGTGGTAAATTTCACTCTTTTCCTTTTTGAGGTAGGGGATGATGGGGGCTCACTTTTCTGATCCTTCCCATCATCGACTATGGGTCCTGAAGATTTGAACAGCTGCCCATTGATGCTCTTTTGGGAGCTTGTGCTGAGGAGATACTTACTTTCTTCGAAATCCATACCCCTGTCAATGGCGGTGATCTGCTCATCTTGAGAGGATGCAAAGTTAATGTGATTCTCCAACAGTTCTGTCCGGTGGCTCAACCCCACCCAGTCATGGGAGTGACTCATTCCTTCTTGCTCTTCGAAGGGAAGCTGTTTGTGCCTGTACTTCAATGCAAAGGTCACACAGTTTATTAGGAAGACCAAAATGGCCAGGCAGAAGACACCCAACAGAGCGTACATCCCAATTTCCAGGTCGCTCAGCCCTTTGGATGCCTGCGTGAGGTCATTCTCATCCATTTCCCCATTACTTCTGGGGAGATCCACATGGGCAGGGAAACTGGTGAGGTCAACAGGGATGGTCTGCAAACCACTGTCATCATCTAAAAGGCTTTCCTGGCCATTGCTCTTCTGGAAGGTTGACCTTTCTGTTGTGGAGCCTCTTCCTTCCATGAGGCCCATGGAGGAACTGCTGTAGTACTGACCCTCTTGACTCCTCCACTCTTGCAAGGGTCTTTTGGGTCTTCTGTCATTGACATTATTCTCCAGGTGAACTCCTGCCCCCATGCGTCTGCTGTCACTGGTGTTGGGGCTAGCATCACTTTGGCCAAATTTGACTTTGATGTTGGCTGTTCCCACAGCAAGCACACTCTTCCGCTTGGATTTCTGGCAAGATTCACTAATAACCATCTCGACCTTTACCAGAGCACCGTGTCCTTCGGTTTCCGCAGCGATTACAGGCCACTTGAATTTGGGGTCTTGGTGGATGGAGACCACCTTCTCATCCAGGGATGTGGCCATCAAGGAGAAGTCTTTCCCATCGTAAATATCCAAGGGAGTGACGGAGCCATCACTGAACTGGACCCAGCAACTGATGGCTGCTTCCTGTTGAGTAAAATAAGTCAATCAAAATGGGCCCCTGAGTTCACTGAACACCAAGTCTTAGTCAGACAGATACTCTGTGGCAAAAATATTATGACAAGAACAAAGAAAAATGTTTTTAAGCAGTATGGAAATAAAAACTAAGAGGTACTAAGGGTATGAAAGAAAATTAATTCTTATAAATGTGCAAAACCAAAATAAAACAACAACAACATTAAAATGACAATGAAACAGGACCAGTCATAAACACTCCATAATAACATTTGCTTTTCTTTCCTGAGGTGTTGAAAGAAAGATGGGTTCTTGAGGCAAGATCTACTTCCACGCGATAATAAATTGCATGTCAAAGGATGTTACTGGTTAGTGGGATCATTTACAAGTGTCACACGTTTAAATGAAAAATATTTATTGCATTATTTTTAAGTTGCTTTAATCCTGAGTCTCCATTTATTACTCACAGCACAGATTAAAGACCCTCATCTAGACAAAGACACCCAGAGGGGCTGCCGTTTTTGGCTGTTTTGGTCCTGCTTTCTCTGGGTCTACAGAAATAGGTTTGTACTGGATTTCAGACACAGCTGGTCTGGAGGCGAGGACTTAAACCAGCCAGAGAGACGGAGAGTCTCTCTGTCTATTTGGGAGTCTTTGTCTCCCTCCCACACTCCGCCCCAACCAGCTGGGGGAAACTGGGAGACCAAAGAGTGGCCAGGGCCAGGGTTTGTGTGCATCTCAATCTCTTCCCTTTTTACCTTGTTGTTTTAGAGCAGCTTCCCTTGGGACCAGTTTGACAGGGAGATCAGAGTAGAGGAGATAACCTCCAATTTAACGCAAGCCTTCAATTTCAGTGAAGACGTCATCATGCTGACAGTGAACTGGCAGGCCCATTGCTTCCTCCCTCCTCCCCGCCTTCTGGAGACCCCGCCCCACCCCAAGCCCAGAATGATGAGCAGCCCTAAGAGGCACATGACCCTGCACACCTGGCTACAGCTGAGTGGACCAGGGAGACAGCTGAGGTTGGAGCCACTAATCTCAGCAGCTCTGAGCCAACTGGCATCTCTCTCCCTCTCCTTCTCTCTCTCAAATTTGAAATAAGAAAGACAGACCGAAGCACTTAGTTGTGGGAAGAGGAGTGGGAGCTCGTATAAAATTGAGGAATGAAGCCCCATTTTGGAGCAACCACGATGGATCATGTATAAGTGAAGGTTTAGGCACAGCATTTATCTACGGGAAGAGAAAAATAAATTAGATCATAAGGAAGTCACAGGGGAAGGAGAGAATGGGCATGAGAGAGAGTGTTGATGCTCCAGGTCCTCCAAGTTCTTATGGCTGACATCCATGAGTGTCCCCTGATCCTTGTAATAAATTCTGTACTATTTAAGCTTGCTTGAGTGGATTTCTCTTTCTTGCAACCAAAGAGCCTCTGACCACAACAGAAGTAAATTTACCCTGGTGGTGCTCAGTCTTCAGAAGTGAGAAGAAAGGCTCCTCAAACGTGAGTAGTGGCCTCTGCACCTACTTCACCTCAGCCAGTAAATGCTGCTATTGTTAGACAAGGGCTGGGACCAGCTGCTAAGTGGAAAACACTGTCAAGACACAGTGCAAAACCACTGGATGTGACCCTGATTTACCAGGTTCTTCCAATCTGCCATGAAATCGGAGGAGGAAATTCAAATGCACATTGGATTTCTTGAAACTCAGATGTCAGAGCTAAGTCTCATGCAGGGACTAAGGGCCATCCAAGCCAACAATGGAGCCAACCTCAGGGTAGCATGTTTAGCTCTGCATGTCGGAAATGGCCTTGTTCTAACTGTGTCTTATGCGTCCTTAACTCCTAATTGGTGGTCACCTGGTTTTATCACCCCATGAAGACAGAAAGAAGCCTCGGGTTATTTCTCCTTTTCTATCTGTAACTTGCATCCCGGCTGGCATCCTGCCCTGAGAACAGGGAGGTTTGCCTTTGGTAAGAATGCATATCTGTTAGTGGGATCATCCACTTTTGAGTGTTTTCTAATCCAAACCCCTGTACACAAAGACCACAGTGAAAAGGCGAAGGGATCATCTAACAGCTGCGGGGAGCATTAAGTGATGGGGACGGGCTGGGAAAATGGGATGGCTCTGTGTGTCCTGGGGCAAGGGCAGCTCAGCAGCCTTCCTGCTCAGGACGGTCACAGCCTCGGCAGGTGCAAGAGGGGCCGAGGAGGCGGTTAACTACCTGCTGAGGGCACAGTTGCCAGGAAGGCCTCTTGACCAATAAGAGAGTTTGCCAGGAAAATTCCCTACGTGGGCTGCAGGCCTTTCCGCAGCCCCACAGGAGGACAGTCCCATTTCATGGGGTACAGAGAGAATCAACGGCCAGAGACCACTGTCTTTGGTTGTTGAGCAAGGTTCACCAAAGTCTCTAAGTTCTTTGTAAGAAATAATGCTTACCCACCTCTAATGAGGGAGGAGATCGTGGAACATTTGCAAACGCCCTATTAACAGTGCCCTTTGTTTGGAAACCATTGTGTCAACACACACACATACATACACACATGCACACACATACACACAATGCACACATACACACAACACGGATACGCATAGCACATACACACACACAACACACACTCTATTAGCACACACTGGTTTTAAATAAAGAGAAAGAGGATTGTGATGGACATGCCATGGGCTCTTTATTTCTGCCCCGAACTAAGCAATAAACATGTGGAAGCAATCTCTCTCCTCCTGTCTCCTCCTGACGCCCCAGACCTGTTACCCCATCTTCCTTGCAGGGACCTAGCAGCAGGCTGTGGACCTCGCCTGGAGTCTGCTCCTGCCCTCACCCCCACCCCACGGCCTGGTGAGGGACAGCCGTGTCCAGGGCCAGGGCCGTTGGGGTAGACGAGGAGCGTGAAGCAGCACGGTGCTCCCTGAGCACACTTGCGCTATGCTGAGTGAGGAGTGGAGCCTTTCGTCCAGCCCCTCTGTCTCCTGGTGGCCTACGATCCTGTACTCACTGCAAGTGTTTTTTGGCATCTCTGTTTGGGAGAGCTAGGGAGCAAGAGACAGAGCAGTCACCTGCTCCACAAGCCCCTTCCCAGACTGAGAAACACTCGAGGTGCCATCCCATTCTTTTGTGGGACCCCTGATTTGTGACTCCACCTGATGGGTACCTAATTCAGTGTGGGACCTCACCCCACTAGGAGACCTCACTTGATGTGGGACCCTGCTCAATGCAGGACTCCACCCAATGAATAACCCCACCTGACGTGCGACCTGACCCCACCTGCTATGTGACCTCACCTGATGTGACCTGATGTGTGACCCAACCTGCTGTATGACCTCACCTAATGTGACCTGATGTGTGACCCTCCTGATGTGACCCACCTGCTGTGTGACCCTCCTGATGTGTGACCCTCCTGATGTGACCCACCTGCTGTGTGACCCTCCTGATGTGTGACCTCACCTGATGTGACCTGATGTGTGACCCTCCTGATATGTGACCTTCCTGATGTGTGACCCCACCTCTTCTGTCCCAAGCCCTGCCTCCATACCTGTTTGGGCCTTTGCAGAAGTTCCTGAGCCACCGCCGTGGCGAAGATGGCTCTGTTGCTCCCTGGGCTGAGCTGCAAGGAGAGTGACAGCCCTGTCACTAGCTGGACCCCGAGGTCTGTGATTGTTACCTTCTCATCCAGCACGGTGATGGTCTTTTCAGCCAAGATGGCATCCGACAGAGGCGACAGGATCTGAAAGGCAGAGCCAACGTGGCAAGGAAGAGCTCCTTGCGGTCTCAGAGATTCCTCCCATAGCATGAACGATGCTCCATGCACGGGGGGGATAGAGACAGACAAATGAGCCAGAGGGAACAAAAACGGGCCTTCCCACTGATGCCTTCTTCTAAAAGATATATCTTGCTTATGAAAATATATCTTTTATGTAACAGCAAAATGATGTCAAGGAGTGGGTGGGGCAGGACTTGACACCCCACCCCCACCACACAAATATAAACTCTGTTACCCACCATGCACCCCCTCAGTGCTTAAGAGGAGGAATTAACATCTTCATTCGAGTACTACTTTTATGATTCTTGTACGGCATGGATCGTCTCTACTATTATTTAGTGCATATTTTGTTTAAAGTTATTTATATTACTTAATTTGTTAAAAAAAACTTCATAGCATCAAAGAACAGTGGTTTTGATAAGCTAGTTATATATTTACGTATTTCTCTCTTACACACACGATCACCAATGTGTGACTAAAGGAGAGACTGTTGGTCCAGGTACCACCTAAATCATCCTGTGGGTCCCTGGGATTCACATTCCACACTTCGGGAGACACTGAGCAGTGATGCTCAGTTGCATGTTGGAACATCAGCTTGCACCCTCTGATAAACACAGCTGCAAGTCTCCACCCCTGCGCCCAACATCCCAAAGTCCCATTTCTCCTCTGGACACCCAGGATGGCCTGGGAAACAAAGCTTACATTCAATTTAGACCCCGAGGAGGAAATTCTGCTTGTGAGGAGCGTCCGTGGAGTCACTGCCCCGTCTCCTCGCCCCTCACCCACGCTGTGAAGGGCTGATTTAGACGGCTCCTCATGAATCCTCAGCCTTCTGATGAAATGGGCTGCATCCTTCTTTTACCTGCTTTCTTGACATGTTTGTCTTTTCAGGTTGTTGGTGATATTTATGAAGATGTATGTCAAGATAGCGGGTTTCCCAGGACTCCTCAAATTCCTTTATCAAAGTTCATATTTCTATCCAAACACCATCTTCAGTTTCTAAGCCTGGTCATGACAATTTGAATGGCAGTGAGCATGAGATACAAGTCCCCAGAAGAAAATGGATAAGCGAATTCATAACTCAGGTGGAATTTATAACTCAGTGGGAATAAATAAGTGGGAGGAACTGAGGGTCTAGGGAAGAGATGCCCCACCAGGACAATTTCACGTTCAATGCATGGGATGCTGGCCCATTTCTCCTGCCTAATACCTGACTTCCAAACACTATGTCATTTCCTCTTTGCGCTGAAATGATCGTTTAGAGTGAGTAGTTAATACCAAGTTTTCATGTTGGTTCCAGATTTAGGCATCAGCATCGGTTTAGCCTATGGATTGATTGCAGGAATTTAGATCTTTAATTTAGATCTTTCAACTAAGAGTCAACGTGGAGGTTGCATGCTCTTGTTTAGGAGGGAAATATGTTTTGTTCGACATACATAATGATTTAAAATGGAATTAATGGCTATCCTTAAAAAAAAAAAAGAGGATTTCATATAAAAAGATAGATTTCCAGCTTTTCTAGAAAAGTTGAACATCTGGCCCTGCTGAGCTCACATTTTCTCTTGGTCACTTTTGGAGATGAATAGCAGCCTCCTCTTCACCACACTCCTCACCACTCCCTATTGTATTCCTAACACTTAGGGCCCAAAATGGTCGTCATCTTTCAGGTCACGCCAGCCTGCTTTCCACACCGATAGTGGAAAGCTTTTAGAGATCTCAGCTTTTAGAGATCATTTGACCATGTGACTCCTGGGTCACAGTCCAAACCAATTTATATTCCTCCTTGAATAAAATGATTTCTTTTAAATATCAGCCAATTTCCTAGAATGGATATGTTTTAAATCTTCCATAATCCAATATAGTTTCACTTATAAAGCTTTCTTATGCACAATTGATTTAGAAATCTCACTGACTGGCTAATAGTATGATCACATCTCCAATAAATGGGGCAGCTATTGAGGAATATTTGTTCTCACTCAGGAGGTCAATGACTAAACTCAAGTCACCCCCCAGAATGCTGTTTTGTGAAAGTATTTGTTTCAAGATTCTTGTGTTGTACACCCGTCCTCTCCCACCCATTTCCAGCAGCAGGTGCCCACAAAACCAATGGTGTCATAATAACTTTGTTCCTTTCTTCAGCACGTTTCTGAGCTGCTCTAGCTTTCATCGGGCCTGAGGTTGGGACTTGGCAGAGGCAGCAAGACAATATGGCGGGATGGTCAGTGAGGTGGATGGCTAAGCGAGAAACTGCTGGCCACACCCGTGATTCCCATGAAGTCAGCTCACCCGAGCGCTTTTTCCCCAAGATGGTAATGTCTACCACGGCTTAGAGACAAATAATGTCTTGGAGTTTCAAACACGACCCAACCAGAGGAGCGAGTCCAGCGTTTCTCAAATGGAAGTAACTTGTGAGGAATTTCAATATTCTTGTTGCATCATTATACCACCTATCTTATTTCCTTGACAATTTCTTTCAGTCTACTCACTCTAGAAATAGACATCATTCTAAGCAATGACAAACAGCCGAATTCTCGTCTGGCCAGGGGTGAGGCGGGGATACAGAGAGTCCTCGCCTTTGGGGATGTCTCACCTGAATGGTGGTCATCCCCAGCTCCTGGCCGGTCAGGACTTGTCCCCCTTGCAGCTTGGCGATGCGGGGCTCCTCCACCTGCATGAAGTCATTTACCAGCTCCGTGATGTCCACCTGCCAGTCTGAGCCCAGCAGGTGGGCCAGGTGCCCCCCGGGCTCAGCCGCCTCGGCCACAAACTGTGTTAAGACCCGCACCATAGCATGCTGGTACTGGAGCGCGCAGCCTCGGCCCCTCCTCTCGTCTTCGTCCTCTTCCTCGCTGTCCCGAGCTGGCCTGTCAAAGGGTCAGTTCAGTTTAACAGATACTGACTTGCTGAGACAACAGTCAGGGGCTGTGAGTGAAGGCTAGTGGGCCCTGAGCCCTGCCTTCAGGGAGCCCACAGGCTGGTGTGACAGACACGCAGGGGTAATTCTCGGAATATTTGACCCCTGGTATGGCTTGAGGACTGGCTAGTTGGAATGGATTGGTGTGGTGAGCAGAATGCTAATGTGTCGCCAAAGATCCCTACCTCCTGGTACCCATTTTGTGGAATCCCTGCCCTTTGAGTGTGGGCTGGACTAGTAATTTGCTTCCAATGAAAGATTATAGCAAAAGTTACGGGGTGTCACTTCCAAGATGAGGTTTGAAAAGACCTTGACTTCTGTCTTGCTCGGCACTCTTTCCTTTGTTCTCTCTTGCTTGCTCTGATGAAGCAGGCTGCCATGTTGTAAGTGGCCCTTTGGAGATCTCCATATGGCTAGAAACTAGAGAGGCCTCTGGCCAACAGCCAGTGAGGAACTGGGGCCCTCAGTTCAACAGCCTGTGAGGAGCTGAGACCTGCCAACAACCACATGGGCTTTGATGCAGATCCTTCCCCACATGAGCCCTGAGATGAGACCGCAGCCTTGGCTGACAACTGGATTGCAGCCTGTAAGAGACCCAGCGAAGCCATGCCTGGATTCCTGATCCAGAGAAACTGTGAGATAATATATGGTTTTCTTTTAAGCCACTCAGTTTTGAGAAAAGTCATTAAATTTTGTAGCAATAGATAACTAACATAATAGGGCTATGAATGACTGGCAGAGCCCTATAAACCAGTACACAAAGGAGGTGAGTATTCAACTTGAGGGAAGGTGAATGTGTGAAAATGAACGTAGAAAGGGCCAGGATGGTTTGGCCAGGAGACAGATGTTAGCTGCTCCCTCCATGTTTGATGCCTTATGTGCAGTCAGCCCTTTCCAGCGTCACTGCAGTCTCCATCAGAACAACAGCTGCTCACCTCGCAGACTAGGTCTGTTGCCATATCTGAGCTGGGCAGCTGTGACAGCATCTGGATGTGCCACCACCAGGTTCTGCCAGTACTTCAGTGAGTCTTTCCCTGCAATTGTCTGCCCTCAGTAGCATCAATTATCACTCCTAACTCCACCCTCCATCTCAACACCAGAAGCCCCAGGAGATAAGAATGAGATCGTTGCTGAAACCATCTTCCAACTGCACATGGGGCCCACAGCCTTCATCCTTGAAGCCATCCCCTCTCCCAGGGGTCACAAGGACTGAGGGCTCACAAGGACTGAAAGGGGTGGACTTCCAAGGGAAGGAATATAAAAGTCATCCCTCAGATAAGTACCAATTCCCTGCCCCCTGCTGAGTACACAGCCTCCAGGAATATCTCTTCTCTAGTTCTGCACAGGCTCACTTCTTACTTTCTACAGGTCGCTTATATATGGATCCTTAAGCGTGGGTTTCTCTGAGATGACAAAGTCTCTGAACCCAGAACCTGAGTTTCTACAACTCTCTTTGTACATGATGCCTGTTGCCTGATGTGGATGGTGGGGACTTATCACTCTATCAAGAACCATCAGAGTGATGTACCAGGCACACAGGTGACCAGCTTCAGACTTCATCTCCCCAAGGCAAAGCCATCTCAGAGCTTCTGGCCTGGGGGCTGGAGAGGCTGCCCAGGTCAGGGAGAATCTGTTCAGATGTCTCTCTAGTGGACATCTGTTGTCTGTGCCTCTCCAGAATCAATTCTCTCCTTCTTCTGGAATTGATGTATTGATTCAGGCAGAGGTGACCTCTTCCTCTGGAACCTTAGGTTCCAGCCGGGGGACTGTGGCTGAAGTCTAGACAGCCAATGAGGGCATGCTATCTCCTTGGCTATAGTGATCAGATTAGGGATGGGCACACAACCCAAGTGAAGATAAGACTTAACTCCAGGACTTTTGCTAGAATTATTGGGAAAGAGAGGATGTACTTTCTGCAGAATTGCAGAGAAGACAGAATGGAAGTCTGGAACCTTGAGAAAAGCCTGATAGAGGATGAAGCCAACACAAAGCAAACCAGAGCTGAGAGGTGGAGAGAGACCCGGTCCTTAGGATTTCATTTGACTCCCTGGATCTAGTCATGCCTGAAATGATCCACCTGGTAACCATCTCAGCCGGAGCACCTTTGACTTGGGTTTCTGTTACGGAGACTGGACTAACTCACCCACCTTTTGCTGGAGACGATGGGCACTCGCCAGCCCTTGATCTGATTGAGCTCGGTGTCAGAGACCTCGATCTGCAGCGGGAGCCGGGGCACCCACACCGTGAGCTCCAGGGGACTGCTCAGGTGCTGGTAGGTGAAGTTCACCACCACGTTCACCTTGCCCTTCATTTCTTTCCCGTTGACAAAGACGTAGTCACATCTGTCAGAAACCTGTGAAGAGGTCAGAGAGGGGTGGGGGACGCATGAGTTTTCTCATATCCCATGGCCAGAGGAAGAGCAGGAGAAAGTGGAAGAGGAAAGGGAAGCGCCATTGCTGTTTTGGGGTCGCCATGCTGAGGAGTAAGTCCTAGTGTGGACCTTGGCTCTTGCTTTCTGATGTGGCAGAAATGGCAGGTGTAATAACACAGGCTGTGGGCGCCTACCAGCTCTCCCGGGATCTCTCACTGGTTGGAACCCTCACCCCTGACAACCTATGCTGCATCTTCTCTAGGAGACCGCCCTTAGGTGGCTGGAGCTGTACCCTCAGAGTGATCTGGGTGCTGTGTCCTACCCACCCCATCCCTTTGCCTGATGACCTCCTGGTTTGCTCAAGGAGGGACAAACTGTGTTGTAGTTCACTCTCCAGAGTTCCTCCTGGGATCAGGCCAAGGCTGGATTTTGTCGGAAACCATCCTTGCTTAGCTTCTCTCCTTTCTGCATCCTGCTTCCTTCACTCCCAAATGGATTTCTCCTGAGAACGTCCTCAAAAAATGAAGTGTACACAAGCTGCCATCTCAGCCGTGGGGGCAGATTCTGAGATATATTCCTCACAGTTCCTTAGAGAGTCTCGACGGCATTTCCCCCACTCGCCCACCAAGGTAGCTAGCTCAATGATTTTCCTCCTATTGGCTTCTCTTCCTTCCATGTGTCCCGTCCTGACCCCCACTCCCTCGCTCTGCTTCCTGGAGTCATTCCTCACATACATCCCCTGCCCTCAACTCCATGTCTCAGGCTCTGCTTTCCGGAGGATCCACACACGTTAATCCAGGCACACGTGAGCTGATGTCATCCTCTGAACAACCACAGGACTGGGCACTCCCATGAGCCCCATATTCCAGATTAGGAACATGAGCACAAAGGAGCTGGACCACGGCCACTCTCCAGGAAGGAGTAGAGACACGACTTGGCCCTGGGAGTCCATGTTCTCCACCGCTGCCCCACACGAACTGGCTCCTCTCTGCCGACATCTGAGAGGAGAAGCAAATTCAATGAGAGGACTTTGTCTCCATGTCTCTGTCTCCCAGCCGTCCCGGGGAGTTCATCTCATCCTAAACGAAAATCGGAATGAGTCTTTGGGGTGGTGCGATAGGCTGAACAATGGCCCCCAAAGACATGAGGTCCTCATCCCTGAAACCCATAAGTGTTACCTTATTTGGCAAAAACGACTATGCAGATGTGATTAAGTTAAGGATCTTGAGATGGACAGATTATCCCAGATTACCCAGGTGGGCCCTAAATATAATCCAAGTGTCCTTATAAGAGGGAGGCGGAGGGAGATTTGACAGCCGCAGCAGAGGAGAGCCATGTGCCACCGAGGCAAGATGCTATGCTGCCGGCTCTGACAATGGAGGAGAGGGCCAAGAAAAGCATCTCTGGACGCTGGAAAAGACAACAAATAGATTCTCTCCTGGAGCCTCCGGAGGGACTGCAGCCCTGTGCACACCTTGATTTCAGGCCAGTGAAGCCGATTTTGGACTTTTGCCCTCCAGAACTGGGAGGACAAATGTGTGTTGTTTGAAGCCACCAGGTATGCGGTGATTCGTTTCAGCAGCCCCAGGGCACGAACACAGTGAGGGAGAGGCGGGTGGAAGCAAAGGCCATGAGAGTGGGGCTGGCTGGTCAAGCCCAGATTGGGTGGGAAAGAGCACTCCCGTTCACTGAGCACCTACTATGCCAGGACCAGGGCTGAGCTCGCCATGGCTGTGGTCTCAGTCAGGACTCTCAGCCCCCAGGGGGCCGGGCTGCTGTCCCCACTGCACGGTGTTCAACCTGGGGCCCGAGACAGGAAGCAACGCTTCCCCGGGGCACACAGCAGGAAAGCGGAAAGACAGAGCCAGCACCTGTTGGCACCCGGCGCCTCCGTCTCCAGCAGGTGCGGCCGTCCTGCCTGACTGCTTCTCGCAGTCTGTTGTTGTAAAGGATGCACTCCTCCATCCAGCACTTGGAGGGGTGTGAGCAAGGAAAAGCAGAAATGACCAGGTTGGTCAAACATCAGAAAACATGTCCAGTGTCGGCCCTTTATCTTCATGGCGAGGCGGCAGGGACGTGATGCGCACCACAGGGCACCGGAAGGTTGGGCGACCGGGGGTGGTTGGTGACTCTGAAGGGAAGCGTGGACCAAGGTCCAGTTATGAGTCGGAGGCGCCATCATCCCAGACCTCTGCCGATAGCAAAGGCGCTGAAATGGGATGGAAAGGCCAAGTGGAGCCAGCTCAGGGAGCTCTACTCTCCTTGTGGCCTGGCCATGGCTCTCCCTGCTTCAGGGCCAGCGAGCCTTTAATCCGAGGCTTTTACTCCTTCAAGTCTTCCAATGCTAAATGGAGCTGAATTGTCACAGATGAGCTGACTTCCAGAGAGAGAATGAAAGAAAGAAAAAAGAGAGAGAGAAGCAGACAGAGACAGACAGAGATAGACACAGAGAAAAAGAAAGAGGGAGAGAGTGAATGAAAGAAAGAAAGAGGGAAAGGAAAGAAGGAAGGAAGGAGGGATGGAAGGAAGGAAGGAAGAAAGGAAGGAAGGAGGAAAGGAAGGAAGGAAGGAGGGAAGGAAGGAAGGAAGGAAGGAGGGGAGGAGGGAAGGAGGGAAGGAAGGAAGGAGGGAGGGAGGGAAG